GGGATAGCAACGCGGGGGGTCTCGGGGTTGGCGCGGCTGGTTGGTGGGGGGAGGGAGGGGCATCTAGCTTACCTATGAGTCCAGAATCATTTTATGTCCCCAATAGAAAGACCCCACCCCACCCCCGTTCCCGTTTGAATCACGCTCCCCACCCCATGTGCCATGTTGTCACTGTGTCTGCTGTGTGTGATGCAATAAAACCTGTTCCGGTTCAGCCGTCCTTCCATCTTTTCCTGTGTCGGGGGGGGGAGGTGTTTGAGTTCCAGGGTGGGGCGCACGTCCCCCGTGAGGACCAAGGTGGCAGGAGGCACTGTGAAGGCTGGCTCAGGCTCTTGGTGCGAGTCTGCTGGGCACCGGCGAAGCCTCTCCCTTTCTTGCCTGGCCCACCCTGTCGGGCCGTTGTTAAGCGGACCAACCCCACCCAGCCCAGCTCGCCCGCTCTCCGTTCCAGAGGGGGCTCTTCTATTGGGCCCTGCTCAGTCAATGGAACCGGAAGCCACGCCTTGACCGGCGACCTCTTCAGGGGGTTCCACCTCTCCCTGCCCCGGTGGTACCCTCTGACCCGGGTGGGGGCCCGGCCTCGCGGGGTCTCCTCCGATCTCGGAGGCTAAGCAGAGCTGGCCCTGGTTCGTAGCAGTCCTTGGGTGGGAGACCACCGGGGAAGCCCAGCGTTGCTCCACCGAGGCCGGCAGCGGGAAACCACCTCTGGAGAGCCCCTGGGGCCGGTGTTCCCTCTGAGCTGAGTCCGTGTGAGCCAGCTGACAGTTGAGCCGGCTCACAGTTTTCTAGCCTCCGGCTCACACATTTTTGTCTTCGCTCAGGAAGGAGGGCTCCAGAGCAAACTGATTTCTGCAGCAGCCAAATGGCTCACTCACAACTTGAATGCCGGCAGCAGCTCACCAAGTAGGATTTTTGCTCAGAAGACTCCACAGGGTCTTGGAGGGAGCATTACATGTGGTGTGGCGGTTAAGAGGGTCGGACTCTTGTCCAGGAGACCCCAGGTCGGGTCTCCACACTCACGCAACAGAAGCCGGCCTGGGGGGGAGGGGGGCTTGTGCCAGTTACACCCCCTCTCTCCTTCGGTCTAACCCACCCCACAGGGCTGTTGGGAGGATAAAATGGAGGGGGGAGGGGGAGCCTCCTGTGACCCAGTTGCTAGTCCAGGTCTCCCTGCACATGGGGGCATCCCAGATTTCCCTCTCCTTGGTCCAGCGGGGGGTGTCTCACTCTTTGGAAGTCAGGGGGTCCTCGGGTTCCAGTCGCCTTCCAGTCTTCCCCCCCCCCCCCCAGCCTCCTTCCTGCCAAAAACAAGATAATGGATCCCACAGAGGTGGCAGGGGAGGTGGGGGGGGCAGTTTTCTTCATTTCCTCCATTGTGTCCAGCGGTGCCTTTCCTTGGCCCTCCTGCAGCCGGGAAGGTGCCTCCTTGCTGCCTGGACTCCAAGGGTGGGCGAGTCCAGAAGAGAAGCCCCCTCCTCCTCATAGAACCACAGAATCATGGAAGGGTCCTCGGGGGTCATCTAGTCCAACCCCCTGCGCAATGCAGGACATTCACAAATACTTCCCCCCCCCCAACACACACACACACACACAGTGATAGGCTATTTACACTCCCACTCTAGCTTAATTGGTTCCTTCCAGGATCCTGGCTGTCTATTGTTTAGTTACTCAAGCTTGGTCAAGGTCCTAGGTAGCATTCCAGCTCAGTACATAACAAATGACCTACTCAAGCAGAAGGAAATCAACCTTGCCCTCGCCATCACCTCGGATTTACAAGAACATTGGGCCCAGCTTCCTCAAACTCAGCTGTTTTTCTCCAAGCTGCCTGAAAGGCGGGCTTGGAGGGAAACTTCTGCTCTGGACAAGGAGAAAAATGAAGACATGCAGGATTTGAATCAGATAGGCAAAGGACTGCCTGAGTTGCAACTGAGGCCGCAGGTGGGGGCTGGGAGAGGGTCTACTTTTTACATCATGGGGTGTGCAGGCAAGGAGGGCTGCCATATGCCCCTCTCCCCACCCCACCCCACAAACACGCCCAGTGGCCCTTCCCGGCCAGGACCCTTTTTGTGCGGAAGTCCCATCCCTCCACCCCACCACCACCCTGCTTTGTGAGCTGACGGGAGGCAGTCGGTGGTCCTTGGGTGACCAGCAGGGAGGGAGACCTTCGGCCAGGCCGAGGGAGGAAGCTCCACAGTCAATCCAGGACAGGGTCTCATTTAGCTCTCGGCCTCCGGGCAGGGCGGATTCAGGCTCACGGGTGCCTGAAGGACTGACCAATCCGGGCGCTCCCCCCCCTCCTTTCCACACTGACCCCCAGTCCATGTTAGTGGTCGACCTGTCTGACCAGATGTAGGATGCAGGGTGCAGCCATAGAAAAATGTATTCCTAGGATGACACCATCTGCTCTTCACCCGTTCCCCAACGTTGTGGCGCCCCCTTTGGCCCTGGTGCCCGAAGCACCTGCCTGGTCCGCTTCGTGGTGAATCCGGTCCTGCCGTGGGCAGCCTCCAGCCAAGCGGGCGGAGGGAAGGAGAGGCCGCCCCAGCCGGGGCCCGGCGGAAAGAACGGGGGGGCCTTTTCCCAAGGGAGC